AAAAAAAAAGGCGCTCCCCAGAGCGACTCTTTTGGCTTGGTGGCGATAGCGATCTGGCCGTGGCTAGAAGGCGGGTTTATACGCCAGGAGGTGAGGCTCCGGGAGCCAGCCAAGAGGCGCGCTCCCTCTTTGCAGGGTCCACCCCCTTGAAAGCAAAACTTTTTTTCTGCCAGGGTCTGGTCTCAGTGAAGGCGAGCAGAGCGCTTAGGAAGAGGCCGGCGGGAAACGGCGCAGACCCCCGAGCCCGAGGAGGAGGAGGAGGAGATCGGACGGCTCGGGCGCTCGTTTTCGGCCCGTTGGACTTCGGAGAGGCTTTTTTTTCCGTGCCGGGGGCGGGGAGGGGGTCTGCGAGGAGCGCTCCCAGCCCTGGGCCATGTATTGGAAGAGCAGCCAGATGTTTGTGTGTAAACTGGACAAGGACGTGCCTGAGCTTCGCCTCGCGTCGGAGAAGGTGAGCCGGGCGTTTTCTTCTTAAGCAGCTCGCCTTCCTGCTCGGAGCTCTCGGGGACCCGGAGCGGATTCGAATTTGCCTTGCCTCTCCCGGCTGCAATAGGCAGGCCCTTTGCTCCGGAGTAATTTCATGCCTTTCAATGAAACTACTTCGGCTTGTTGATGGCGGGTTAGCAAAATCTTCTCTCCCTTCCCGGTTTGGTTTTTTTTTGTTTTTTTTTTCCTGCGCTGGGCGACTTTCGTCTGGTGGACCCAGTTTCTCCTTCCGGTTCCAAACTCTGAAAGCAAACTTGGCACGGTCTGACCCGACGCCAGATCGGTAGCCCCAGCTGCGAAGGAGATTCAAGAGAGGATAAGCTACAGTTTGCCCGCGTTGTTATTTTTTTTTTCCTTAATCTGACTTTTCATTTAAATAGGAAACGTTAGTACGAAACACCTGCGGGAGGAAATCTAAATTAATCGAATGTTTAGGCTAGAGGACTGGCGCCGCTTCAACCACTTACTCTGGAGTAGTCCCTTGACTTTAAGCCTCCGCGTGGCTTGAGGATTGTTTGTTGTATCCTGGCTTCGAACTATTTAAGGCAATACACTCTTAACCGGCAGGCTTCCTTGTTTTGTTTTTTAAAGTACATTTCCCGGCAATCAACAAGCCAGAGCCAGAATCCTAAAGTCATTATTTTGTCTTCCATGGGACTAATCCGGGGTAAGTGATACAACGCAGACCGTCTTAATTCCCGCCCCCTCCACAGTTTTTCCATTATTTTAGAAGTTATGTCGGCTAATTGAAACTTTCATTTCACCACCCAGAGTCCTTTAGTAAAGACACACCGACTCGATTTTAATTTGGCCAGACTGACGCCAGATCAATTGAACCGGTTACATTTCCAGGAAAGAAACGCTAAGCCAACATCTCGGGATTGCGGGGGATGGCTGCCCTGCGTCCTTCCATTGGGGTCCTCCTGCCCGAAAGAGCCAACGCAGGGGACAAGAAAGGGGCAGAAAAATTAGTCTCCGGCCTTTACTCTGACACGCGGAGGCGAATATCCTTGAATTAGGGCCTTTTTTATAAAAGCCCCTGGAAAAAAAGCGCCAACTAACTTGTTAGGTAGTTGTAGGAAAGGTACCAAGGCGGGGAAGAACTCGCCTCGCCCAGGAGTAGCTCGGTCTTCTCTTCGCCGTGACCATTGCGCCTTGGTGGTCCCAAAGATCTCCCCCCCCCCAAAAAAAAGGCAATTGAACTTTTTTTTTTCTTTTGAGGAATGCAGAGACTTCTTGGTTGAGAAGCGAAACGTTTTCAAAGAAAAAAAAAACCACCAAGAAAGTCCAGTTTTTGGGGTGGGGGGGGAAGCACCTTTGGGACAACCCTGACCTGGATGGTTGAGAATCTCCACAAAACATTTCGCTTTGATGGGTCTTTGTTGGCGATGGCTGAGCTCGGCTCCCTCAGTCGTCTGTGGCCTGAGGCTGCCTAAGATCTGGCTCTTTAAGGGTTAGGAGGCAACCCGCCCGAGTGAGGTGAGGCCTGAGTTAATTGAGGCTAATTAGACCAGGGTTGCGAAAAAGCTGATAAGGGAGAGCGAGGGCCGGGGCTGCTTCCTTACTCGGCCGCCGAGGGGGTCGCTGAGGAGGGAGGTCGAAAGAGCCCGACCGCCTCGCCGTGTCAAGCTCTCTTATATATGCCCCCCTCCCTTCGGTTGACCCAAGGACCAATTGTCCTTAATGACGCCTCCATTAAATTCAGCTGGCTGGTTTCAAGGCTTCTCCTTTCGCGGGACTCTCCTTTTCTCCCGTGAGTTGTGTGTGTGTGTTTTAATTTCTCGAGACGAGCCGTTCTTTCGGCCTATTAACTCCGCCCGGAGAGGTTTAAGTGGCAATTTACACCTCCGAAGGCCAGAGCTGAAAGTGGAGGGCCGCTTCTAATTGCAGCGAGCCGCTCGAGCTCTAAGCAAGCTGAGGCATTTTCATTCAAATCGAGCCCGGCTCTGGCAGCCCCGGCCGGCTTTTGGGAAGGCGGCGGCGGTTGCTGCACTTAGCGCTGGAAGGTTCCCCCCCTCACCTTCAAGGACTCGGCGTCGCCCTGTAATTGCCCTTGTTTAACTTTCTCTGGGAAGGGAGGGGGGCAGGGGTCGACAGCCCCGCTCCCTTCCCTCTAAGGAAACCGAGCCTCGTCGCCTCAGGTTCTCGGCGCTCTCGGAGGCGCTAAAGCGGTCTGGTCTCTCTTTTTTGCAGTTCCCGAAGCTCATGGCTGAGGAGAGCGAGCGAGGGGCAGCCGCTGCCGCAGCAGTGACTGGAAGGAGGCGGAAAAGCGTCGGAGACACGGGGCTGGTAAGAGGGTTTCCTCGTGAGAGGGCGCTTTAGGGAGGGCGGGGGGGGGGCGTCCTTGCGAGAACCCCGAATAGGTTGAAACACATGAAAGAGGGGGGGGGTAGAGAGATGCCAAATTTGGTGTATTAATACGTTATGGAATAATGTGTTTTATTTTTATTTTTTTTTAAAGAGGAGGTGGTGCTCGATTAGCACCCCCCAAACTGCATCCGAAGGATGAGGAAAGGAAGGAGGTGGGATGTGTAGGGTAGTTGAAAGAGAGGAGGAGGTGCAGGTAGGAGCGGGAGGAGGGAAGTAGGTAGGAAGGGTGAAAGAGAGGGCGGATGCAGCGGGGGGGCGGCTGCCGAGCACCTCTGAAAATACGGTTATGTTTAATATGTTTTTTTTTTATTCATGTACACCAGGGGTAGTCAACCTTGGCTCTTTTATGACTCGTGGACTTCAACTCCCAGAATTCCTGAGCCAGCATGGCTGGCTCAGGAATTCTGGGAGTTGAAGTCCACGAGTCATAAAAGAGCCAAGGTTGACTACCCCTGGTGTACACCATATTTGTATTTAGAATTTGTTTATTTGAAAATTAAGAAAAATTTGAAAGGAAACACCTGAAGGAGGGAGAGGGGGAGGGTTTGAATCGGTTGGCGGGAACTCTCCCGGAGGGACAGCTGGCCCAGAAGCGCCCTCGGAGCGCTTGAACGTGGCAGGCAAGAAGCGGCGGGCAAATGCCAAGGGGGTCGCTGCCGGCGGCTCGCGGCTCGCGAATTCCCGCCTGATTTAACGAGGCAGCTGATTGGGCGACTGCAGGCACGTGCGACCCCCCCCCCCACCACCACCACCCCCGCCCCCGCCGCTTTCTTTGCTTTCCGGAGGGAGGGGCGGCTCTGAGCCCGAACTTGTGAGGGATGGTCCCAAAGAAACGAGGTTCGGGGGTAGAAGACGCTGCGGTGGAGCAAAACCTCTGGCGTTTCGTGGAGAGTGGCGGCGGGAGAGACCTTGGCCTTCCAGCCCAGGCGGTCAAAAGCTCCACCACGCGACACTTGCTCTCCTGAACCTGTGGCGCTTTGATTGCCTCGGTTGTCACAATCGCCTGACTCCCCTAACGGATTTTAGGCCCTTGGAGACTGACTGGCCCTGGGCTGGCTTAAAGGAGGAGCGCCTTGTGTTAAGGGTGGCTTATGGTGAGGTGACACTAGCATTGTGGGGCGCGGCAGGAAAACCAAACGAAACAATGCCGCCCATCAAAGTCACGCAGTGTTTCTCAACCTGGACAATTTTAAGGCGTGTGGACTTCAACTCCCAGAATTCCACAGCCAGCGTTGGCTGGCTGTGGAATTCTGGGTGTTGAAGTCCACACGCCTTAAAATTGTCCAGGTTGAGAAACACTGCGCCTAGTTAGATCTGGGCGGGGAAGGGCTTCGAAAGAGACTTTCCCCAAGGCTTGGGTTGAAAGGGGATCTGGAGGGAACAGGAACCAAGTCTCGCTGATGACAGACCTGTGCTTGTGTGTCTCTGTGACAGGTGAGTCCAGAGGTGGTGGCTGATGAGGATTCTTGCTCTTCCTCCACCCCGCTATCGCCATCCTCTTCGCCCCGCTCACTGGCTTCTGGCTCAGGCAGCTGCGGGTCCAGCAAATGCATCTGTAATAGTTGTGGTCTAGAGATTGTGGACAAATACCTGCTGAAGGTGAGCAAAAACACTGGATCTGTGAATGAGAAGGCTTTAGTAGAGTTGCACGGTAGTAATGTTCTGGAAGGGAGCTGCAGTATAAGCTAAAAATAAACTTCTCTTAAGGCTGGAATAGAGCAGCCTTTTCAGAATATTGCTTATCTTATCTGCAAGAGAGGGGGAGAAAGCTACCCTTATTTTCTGCAGCTGAATAAAAGTTGCAGTCTTTTGTGACTCTTCCTGATGGATACATTCGTTTGACTTTAAAGTTGTCTCTGAGTCTCTTCAACAGCTTTGTTGCAACCGATAGCAGTTGTTTGTGGTATAGAATAGTTGTAGAATAAATATTATGTTTGGAAAGAAAAAAGTATTGCTGAAACAATTTCCTTTCGTTGTAATAGATAAGCAGTGGCAAGTGATCACATAGAGAAACTCAGCTTTCAAATACTTTGTAATTATAAAATATCTTGGGGATTAATTTGGAAAAATAGCCTGGATGCCATCCCAAATATTTTCAAATTGTGCCTTCTGCTTTTCTTTGTTTTAATGGACCACATCAGGTGAGCTTAATTCAGGTTGCTATCAACCGGACTTAATGTTCAAAGGAAATTAAATTCAATTAAATGTACCTCTGAGAAACTTGGCAGAAGGTCATCTTCTTTGAACTTTCAAAAATAACATAACACTCCTGAATTAATTTGCATATTTGGTCACTATTAATTCAGGAATGTTGTGGCAGTACAGTATTAAAAGGCAAAAATACTTTGTTAATTTTAATATTTAAACTTAAACTTTGGGTTCAGGGATATTATGCATTAAGATATAATAAAGATTGTTGATTTTTAATTCACAACAAATTTACAACAAATGTTGTAAAACAGCATCTTCTCAACACATTCTATAATTAGAGGCCCAGTGATTTAAGTCTTTATTTGTACATAGCAAATTTGCATGCAATTTATGAATGACTTATGGGTAAATGGGTAATGATCTAATTTAAACTGAAACCTGATTTTATTGGTAGTTTTGATTTTATAGTTGACACATTGCTGCACTTGGCAATAACTTCCTATAAAGAATTTAATATTTCAGTCAGGCCAAATAAATATGTTTGTACGTATGTATTTTCCAAGAATTAAATTGCTTTAATATCTGATGATAAGGACTGGAGGTTAAAATAAGCTATTTTTTTTGCTTTTTAGCTCTATGGAATTGTTGAGTGGGAGAAGCTGATACTTCCTCTCAAAACAAAAAAATGTTTCATCCCCTGCTGGAAATCTTAGCCTAAGTCTTAAAACTGGACTTAGAATACCTTGGCATTAAATATTTATCCACAATAAATGCTGCACTTAAAAACTTGCCAGAGTCACTGAAAAGCAAATAACTACTAAACTCTATAAAAGTACTCAAACCACATTGATCATAGCCATGAGTTCTGGAAAAGCATATGGACTCATTTTCTTCAGATGTCATCCAGTGAAATCATCCAATGATGTTAGGCCTGTGCTTGTGTCTGTTTTTTCTTTAAAAATTGTTGTCTTCCTAATAACTAATAGTATATTCAAGAGACAGTTATTGCAGATGTTTTTGTAATATTCTCATTTACACATAGTTAAAAAAGTGGAATTTGGGAAATACATGACAGGAGCTGATTTTCTGTAAACAAAAGAACAATTTTATTATTGCTCAACTACAAACCAAACTTTCCTAATGTTTAAAGCAAATGTTCTGGAAATTATCAAACACATTGATGTTGGGTAAGGCAATTCTTGAAAATTGAAATGCAGTGATGAACTTGTAAATAGCGCTAAATATATGAATATTATTAATTTTCTCTGGCCCCTACATATTTTTATTTCTAAACTGCTAGCAGCACCAAAGAAACCTCAAGATTCTTTTGATTTCTAATGGGGTTGTTGGTTTTTTTTCCTATCTATAAAACTTAGTCCAGACATTCAGAAAGTTGTATAAATATTATTTTCCAATACTTAGTGTTGTAACTTTAAACTATTGTACTATGATATATCAATAAATTTTACTAGCATGAAAACAACATATTTGTCCAGTTAGCAGACAAGTTTCATTCCACATCATCAATGCTGATTTTAATTTATTTTGAGATTTAGGCAATATTATTTATATATCGTTCATATTTATATTATTTTACCAAGCCCGACTGGATTATGCTGACATTTTAATTTAAGGTCGAAGGCACTTCAGAATTTCAATTCTAAGAAATCATACAGTATGGGTCAAAAAAATATTTTTTGCTTATTGAAATTATAGTGTTACTGACAAACCATTCATAACATCTTACTAAGACAATTTTATTATCTCTGTCACTCCAAAGAAAGTAGATTTGCCTTATACTTTCATCAAATTGTATGTTAATATTCATAAAATGCATGTTTTGACTGTAAAAATAACTCACATTTTAAAAAAGATGTCACAGGAGAATATGTCCCTATTAATCGTATTCTGAACTTCATGTCATAAGTTGAGTGTTGATGGAGAAGGTCTTGGAACTAATAGTGGAGGACTTCCCCCCCCCCCCCACTGTATCCCCTTAATACATGTCTTAATGCTAACATTTGGTCTGTTTCAATTATATGAACCGGCTGTATACTAAACAGGCTTCTGATTTCTATGATATATTGTAACTTCTTATGAAGATATTTATCTAGGATTAGACACTGCAATTCTATATGTTTCTATTCAGAAGTATGAATTTAGTTTTCTGCATGAAAAGATACACAAATTGTATGTCTCTATAGGATCATACCTCGACTTATTCCCTAGTGTAGTGGGACAATTTAAGATGTGAGGTATCCATGGTAAATTTCACAAAGTGGTAAAAGTTGTTCCATTTAGTTTTTGAATTAGAAGTTACTGAAGTAGTTTTGCATGATACCATTTTGAATTAAGTGTGTCTATAGTCATATCAGCCACTATTTATCCAGTTTAATCCTGGATAAATATCTTTATAAGAAGTTACGATACACCACAGAGGTCGGAAGCCTGTTTAATATACAGCCAGTTCATATAATTGAAACAGACCAAATGTTTGCATGATACCATTTTGAATTAAATGTGTCTACAGTCATATCAGCCACTTCACTCCTCGTACAATTATTTATTAAACATAAACATTTATTTCAAATCCTAAAATAACTTGTACATATGTCTATGTTCAACATTCACAGCGAGGCAGAAACAGATCAAGAAACTCATTCTCAACAGAATAAGTCATTTATCTTTTTTAAATATGTGCAAAATTAGAATCTTTGTCATTTTACATTGTTAACTCTTGTTTCATAAATTACTCAAATAAGTGATGTCAGATTTCAATTTTCTTTTTCCTTCCTAGGTAAATGATATGTGCTGGCATGTACGCTGCCTTTCCTGCAGTGTATGCAGGACTTCTTTAGGAAGGCATACCAGTTGCTATATCAAAGACAAAGACATTTTCTGCAAACTAGATTATTTCAGGTATACTATGGAACTCAAGTACATGTTATTATTTTAAAACAGCAAATGTAAATCTGTGGAATGTTTTTCTGTGCAGAGATACATGCTCAACTTGCTTTGGATGGAATATTATCTGAGGGCAGAGTGCTACACCGAAACAAATATATATGTTCCTCTATAATGTGATATATACATATACATGTATATATATATACATTTCCCAATTTAAAAGATTAATATATATATTATATATATATATATATATATATATATATATATATATATATATATATATATATATATATATATATATATATATATATATATATATATATATATATATATATATATAATATACATATTAATCTTTTAAATTGGGAAATGTATAGTATAGTCTTACTTTCAGCTTAAAAGATTCTCTTAAGAACAAACTATGTATATAGAGAGGCAAAGATTAATTTGCATCTTGCTAGATTAGTTTAGTTTAGATTTAGATTTCAGATTTAGTCTAAACATTAATTTAGATATAGATCTTTAGATTTCTCCCAGACTTTTGGTCTAATCATGTAATGGTAGCAGCAGCCATACTGTAGGGTGTTCCTGGCAATTTTGTGGTGCTAGGTGCAGTAGGCTTCCACATACCCCTATTGGTTGTAGTTAAGTAGGTTTTTATCTAGTTATGGTCAAAATATTATTCTGTGTTTTTATACTGTTTTTTAATACTGTGAGAAGGAATTTGAAGCTTGAAGAGTACTAGGGAACATAATACAAGCATGAACAATTCATGCCACTGCTAGCCAACCACTACTCCTCTCATTTGGGCACTATAATAGAATTTTGTTTTCTTCAGCTAATTATAAGGTTTTATTTATTGTGGGCATGTCAACTCCATCCTTAATCTTGATGGCAGTATTTATTGTCAGCTTAAAAGCAACACAACTATATAACCTATGGTCTCTGTGTACGCTTGGTGGAACATGGGGGTTACAGGTGATTATCTTGAATATATCAGTGTTCCATCATAGAAATACATCCAGCGTGGTCTCTTTTCTTTCTTCAATAGTAATTATATTTAAAAAGGTATGGTACATGCTGAAAAGTAATTGCTAATGTTAAGCAGATTATATTTGCTGTGGTGGTGTTTTTTTTTTTAGCTAATTACCAAAATTCCAGGTGCTTTTTAACATCCTTGTATCATGCATGGTAACTTTAATACTCAATGAACTAGAAATCTCAAATTCTAATTTGTCCTAATGTGAATGATACATTGGCCCCACTCCCCCTTGCATATCTCAAAATGTGTGTGCTCTGCAGAGTATGTCATCAGAGGCTGGAATATTTGCTTTTTATCCTCAGTGTGGTAGTTGATTAGCCTTCTTACTGAAATCAGAGTGGATGAAGTGCTTAATGTCATTGGATCATATATGCTGGTCCTGATGAAAACATTATTTTATTCTTCTTTTATATGCTAGATGGAATATAAATAATTGCCCAACAGTAAAATTATTTCCTTGGGGTGGTACATAATTTTGTTGTTAATTGCGAAGTCGTGTCCGACCCATCGCGACCCCATGGACAACGTTCCTCCAGGCCTTCCTGTCAAACACAATTACCAATGGAAGAGAATATTTGTAGCACAGGGTTGAACTCTGTCCTTCTGTCTGAGCTTGATTGTTTTCTTCAAGACGTTTCATTACCCAACCGAGTAATATCAGCAGTGCTACAAGGGCCACTTGTATATAAATACGGAGCAAATCCCACTCCCTTCTAGCACTGCTGATGTTACCTAGGTTGGTAATGAAACATCTACAAGAAACCAATCATCTTATTTGACAGTAGGGTCAAGTTTTCAAAAAAAGTGTTTGAAGTTCCTAAGATGTTTTCTGTTCAATCTTACTGTCTTCTTCCTATCTTCATCTGTTTACCTTCACAAAGTGCAGTTACTTTCTCTAGCACTAAAGTATTTCTATTTCACTGCCTCCACAATGGGGAAGTAACTATTCCTGCATTCTCTTCAGAGCATCCACACCAACTAAGATACATCACTGAAGTACTTTACTGCTAGAATAAACTACTGCTATTTGAAAGAGTAAGTGAAAATATAGCATTTAATTACTAAGGGTTTGGGATTTATGACCACAGCGTAAACCTATACTTTTCATTTTACATAAAGAAGTGTAAAAAATTTGTTTTAATTATACTTGACCAACATTTTTTCATCCAAGTATGTAAGTATAGGTGGCCTGCATTGTTTAATAATTATAATTATTTGTGAAATCTTAATTTACAGATCTGAGGTTTAGAAAATTTTAGTAAATTTCTAAAGATATACTGGGCAATAACTGCATTGATTTTGGCAGATTTAATGGTGCTATTGCACACTCTATCATACGGTTTTTTTTAACATTCTCAGTTTATTTTTCCTTCAGTTGATAGCAATATACTAGCTGAGTAAATATTGTCAAAATATTGAAAGAAATATATTTCTATAAAAGTCTTTATCGTCTCACTTTGAAAGAATTATCTATTTGGATTACTGCAAAACACTCTTGTGTGGAACTGCCCTTGAAAATTGTTCATAAATTATAGGTTATGAGGACGTTAAAGCTATGGGAAGTATATCACACCTCTTTTAAAAAAAAAAAACAAATGAGAAATTGATCATTTTTTAAAAATATGTATATATCTTTTTTTCTTTTGCACATGATTGAGTCATCCGATTGGAATTAGAATGGAGGTAGATATTGATCCTACTGTGGTCTTCATTCAAACTGGAGGAACTGTTTCAAATATTTTAATAAAGAGAAAGATACATTTTTCTATGGAAATGGGGCTCTTGCATTTTCAACAATGGGCAAAGATGCAAGGCCTTACTCTTCCTTTTATTAAGACACAAATATGTGACTTAATATAATATGATAAAACAGTAGTTACTATTGCTCTTTTGCTCTTTGATGCCCATGCCATTAATGTCTCATAGATTCCAGTATATAAATATAATGTATTTAATCTATATCCAGTATTGTGTGCCTGAAGAGCATTTTGATGGTATATTCCATAATATGAAATCAAGAAAGAATCTACTGTTTGTCTAAATCTTGACCAAATTTGCCAAGTATTTACTGGGTTGGATGGTTAATTTTGGTTTTCACTGCTAGCACTGAGCTTTTATATCTTCCTTCCATCATTTAGTTGCTATTACATTTAAATCATCTTGTTTTGGTTTTTAACTGTAGATTATCTGGACACAAAAATAGCATATTTGTTCAAAATAGCATGTCTCTTGACTTTTTGGCTTTAAAAAAAAAATACGGTGGAATTGAAAAGGTTAAGGATTCTAGATGACTGATGATACCACATTTCACAAAGATACACAACTGAAAGGGATTAGCAATCTCAACTATATCAAGGTAAAATCCAGTGTGACTTCATGTATATAACATAACGGGGTTCCTGAGTAATATGCCTGTGCTTAGGTATCTCCCTTATGGTTTTTTTCAGAAGCCCTGGAAGGCATAGAGGAATGACATGTCAACAGTACAAAAGCAATTTCTTCTTTGGGTTGACAAAATGCAATGGAAATTAAACACTCCAAATCCAGGCTTTTTCTGAGGCCAATAGCGTTAACTATAAACTTCAGGCAAAGTGATGTTACAGAATCAGGCCTGTGACTTGTGTTTCATTTGTTCTCGCTCTTCTTCTGTAGACGCTATGGAACCCGCTGTTCTCGCTGTGGTAGGCACATCCATTCTACTGACTGGGTTCGAAGAGCCAAGGGAAACGTGTATCATTTGGCCTGCTTTGCCTGTTTCTCTTGCAAACGGCAGCTCTCGACAGGAGAGGAGTTTGCTTTGGTTGAAGAGAAAGTCCTCTGTAGGGTGCATTATGATTGCATGTTGGACAACTTGAAAAGAGAAGTTGAAAACGGTAAGCTTGCCTTTTATCCTGGGAAAGGCCTTTTCAGTTCTGGTCCCTGTAGATGCAGATAGTTCCTTCTCCTCCAGCATTTTGCAAACCAGTTAAAAACCCTTTTCCACCGTGCTTTTACTGTTAGTTAATTGTTGTGGTCGTCCATGTAGGATAGCTCATCCAGCTTCTGTGTTCTTTCTTATGTCTAGACTTTGTCACATGCCATCCTGAATCTTGAGGTCAATCTTTGAATGCCTTTTGAAAACCAATTTCTAACTTGATAAATTGTTCCATAGTTAATGTGTCCGTTGATAGTGTGGCTTCAGCGTTAAGAGAAGTTGACTTTCAGTAGCTTTTAATCTGTCTGGAGAATTTTACCTTATCTCTAGTCATGATCAGGAATGTAGCTGTGGTGAAAATTATCCTGAAATGCAAGTTGCTTCAGAATACAGATTCCCTGTCCAGGTGTACTAGAATATATATTTTTTTATTTGTATTCAGCATTGTGGTGATACTATTCTGGGCGATAAAGTTTTTTTTTTTTTAAAAGACTTCATTAAAAATGTCAAAACAAAGCACAATAGGTTGTTTGGCAATAATTAGATTTTTGCAGTTCTTTCAAAACATATTAACATTGAAGGCATATTTGCCTTTAAAGAAACACATGTTCACTTCATTTCAGTGCTTTCAATTGGTAGATTTGGTTGTCGAAATTTAGCCAATGGGAAAAGTTATGTCTACGAAACTAGATGGTAGTTATCTATATGAAATTTATTGGACTTAATTTGTCTCTGCTAATTGCAAAATAAAAACTAATTTTCACCTGCATGTTCTAATCTGCCTGGTAGCTTGTGAATTTATTTTTAGATATAGACTAGGTTTATAATACAGATGTCACTCTGAAAAATTGCTTTAAATTATTTCATTATTCTGAATAATTATGAAATATGTAAAATGTGTATAAGTAGTCAAATTCCAGGCTACCTGTTTCAAAATAGTATATAATGGATATTTTCATAGTTTAAGTATATTCTGAATACTGGAAGTTGATTATAAAGGAATATCTGTAAATAATAACTAATATCCGTGCTACAATTGGACTTCTTCTCTCTTTAATTTCAGGGAATGGTATTAGTGTAGAAGGTGCATTATTAACAGAGCAAGATGTTAATCATCCCAAGCCAGCAAAAAGAGCTCGAACCAGTTTCACAGCAGATCAGCTGCAGGTAGAAACATTGAATCGTAGACTGCTATAATCAGACCTATGGTGGGGAACTGAGCATAGCCACGATGCAGAAGCATAACAATTGTACACGGTGCATAATTTTAAAAATTCTGTATAAATTAGTTGTTTATAAAGAAATTATACGCTCAATGGTATACGATTTCTCTTAATACCAAGACACAGCATGTTCCTGGAATACATTTGTGAGCTTTTGCTGTTTCATATGAATTAGTTACTCTTCAAGCTTTTCAATTTCCCTCAAGGCAGTTAGTAATTCTGTAAAGTGAAAGCATAAATGCTGATCTCTTTGGACTACTTGATGAATTTGATTAAATCAGACCTTTACACGACTCCCATAATCATAATAGGAGGTTAAATAGTTTCAGTTTTATGTAACATGAAGAAAGATACTAGGAAATCTGCAAGCGGCAGATTTCCAAAGAGCATAAGCTTTTCTATATTTTTGATGCCATGCAAATGCAACAGTATGTGACAATCAAAACTGTTGTTCTTCACACCAAGCAGAGTGTCATAGTTAAACGATGGGATTAATTTAGTGTTTGCTGCCAAATTGTGTTCAGAATATTAGCTGATATCTTTGTACTGCAGAACAGGATATCCCATACAAGCCATATTGCTGCAAAATAAGTGCAAAGAAATATGTCTATGAACTGTATTCAGTTACTTCATTATTGCTTTATTTTGTTGTAAATAAATTGGAAACTTAATGTATTTTAGCATTCTTCTTAACTGCTTATTTAACTCTGTTGCATTGGCCACCATAATGTTGTCATCCTTTTAGGAGTTTTCTTTAATTGTTGTTTTGCAATTAAAATAATAAAATTTGTTTTAATTGTTGTTTTAGTCTAAGTGTTAGTGTTTCAGATATTAATTTTGATCTCGTAAATACACATAGGATATTTATTGAACATTTAAATTAAATGTTTTTATTTAGATTAAAATTTAAACCCCACCTCTTTTAACAAAACGTGCAGAAAAAAACAAAACAAAATAAACAAAATAAAACAAAATAGTTTACCATATATTTAAAACAAGGTAACCTACTGTCAAAATAATAAACCAAGAATAAAGAAAGTGAAGAGACAAAAAAGGAGAACCTTAACTGAAAACTCTACAATTGGCAGAATTATTTCCAGTACATTGTATTTACTTTTCTTATATGAAATTATCTTATTTTAGAAATTACAACTCTAGCATTTTTTAAAGAAAATTATGCATTTTAGGATCTTATTTAGGGAACATAAAAAAAGCTGACATACTAATACAGGTAGTCCTCAACTTACAACAGTTCATTTAGTGACTGTTTGAAATTACAACAGCACTGAAAAAAGTGAAATAGGACCATTTTTCACGCTTATGACCGTTGCAGCATCTCCATGGTCACGTGATTTACATTCAGATATTTGACCACTGGTTCACATTTATGACTGTCGCAGTGTCCCGGGGTCACGTGATCACCTTTTGCGATCTTCTGACAAGCAAAGTCAATGGGGAAGCCAGATTCACTTAACAACTGTGTTACCAATTTAACAATTGCAGAGATTCACTTAGCAAATATGGTAAGAAATGTCGTAAAAAGGGGCAAAACTTAAAAGAAATTTCTCATGTAGCAACATAAATTCTGGGCTGAAATGTCTTAAGTCGAGGACTACCTGTAGTTCAGAAATCCAAGTGTAATCAGTTTGGGGAAAATCCTAAAACAATCTACTGCTCCTATAAATTTTAGACTATTTAGATGACTATCTCTTGCAACCCTGTAAGTGAGAATTTTAGCAAGAGGGATGTTGTGTTGTGATCTATTTACAGTTCACAGACTTTCAAACACTTGTTTAGTGACCGTTCCACTGTAAAAAGTGACTTATGACCATTTTTCGGACTGTAGTGGCATCCCTAATCAAAATTTGGAAGCTTGGCAACTGACATGAATTTAGGACAGTTGCAGTGTCCCAGGGTCATGTGATCTCTTTTTATGACCTTCTGACCAGCAAAGTCAATGGGGAACCTGGATTCACTTAAAAACTGTGACAAGAAAAATTGTAAAATGCGGCAAGCCTCACTTAATGTCTGTCTTGCTTAGCAACAAAAATTTTGGGCTCAGCTATGGCTGTTAATCAAGGACTACCTGTATAGTTCTTTAATAGAAAATTCAATGAAAGCTGGAATCCTTTTGAAATGTTTTGCACTATATCACTAAAGGACATTGGATTTTATAAAACAAATGTGAATAATAGTCCTTTCTCTATGCAGGGCTTTTCAACCTTTTCACCCATTGTACCACTTTTAGGATATGGCAATATCCGAGTACCACCAGCCACCTAGCAAGGTGTCAAAAACTTGATGACCAAAAAAAAGAAAAGAAAAGAAAAAGTGATAAAGTACAGGTAGTCCTCGACTTACAACAGTTCGCTTAGTGACTGTTCAAAGTTACAATGGCACTGAAAAAAGTGCCCCCCCAAGCCACAGTCGAGCAAGACACCTGCCTGCCCACCCGGCGGCACTCTTCCTCCTGTCCAAGGTTTTCATTGTTGTGAGCATTTCTGTTGAGGATTGGCAGTGGGGGGGGGTGTTTGGTTTTTATTCCCCCCGTTTGCTAGGTGGTTGCAGCAGGTTTTGGTCACTTCACATGACCCTGGGACACTGTGACCATTATAAATATGAATCAGTTGCCAAGCATCTGAATGTAAATCATAAGACCCTGGAGAGGCTGCAACATTCCAGCTGATTGGTGCTTCTTCAGGGCTCAGCAGAAGCACCAGGATCAGCGCTGAGCTCCAGATGGAGCCTGGCATTGATCCTGGCCCTTCTGCTGAGCCCTGACAGCCCTGCAGCTCCAGCCGTTTCTCGCTCAGGCTTGTGTGGTGCTGCCACCAGTTCAGCTCATTCCCCTCCCCCGCTACCACTTTTCTAGGATGGTCGCGTACCATCTGCCAGGTGCCAATGTACCACAGGTGGTACCTGTACCACTGGTTGAAAAGCCCTGCTCTATAGATATATAATCAGCTTTACCACATGACTTGTACATGCTACTGGCAAGCTAAAAACAATGTAAGAATTCTAAAACTAACTATGAATAAAGGAATTAGGGAAGAGAAAAATTTGTATGTTTTGTGAAACGTCTCCTGGTAGGATTCATATATTTTGACTTGATAAAACACAAGTAGAAAGTAACAAGGGTGAATGTGTTACATAGACATGATTTAATGGTCTTATGATAAATTCCCATTGTATGTATTTCAATGACAAATTAGCATAATTTTGTTTTGATTTAAAAAAAAAAAAAGAATTCAGGTCAATTCTGCTCTAGTGCTTTACTATGATTATAAGCCTTTAGTAAAGCCATGAACTTTCACAGGCCTTCATGATAACAATAGAACTTTATTTGACCATTTGTAGTAAGTTTCTAGGTCACTGGTGCAATGAATAGTTATTAAGCCATATTACAATTATTTGGCAAGCTCTACTCCTCAATAGTACTTTTTCCTTCAAAAGTACTATTGAGGCTACAGCATGACTGTTTCTTGATTATTTGTGCAGTTTTTGCCAGTATGCCATAAACATGCTGATTCTTTTTCAGGTAATGCAAGCACAGTTTGCTCAAGACAACAATCCTGACGCACAAACACTGCAAAAACTGGCAGAAAGAACAGGCTTGAGCAGGCGTGTGATACAAGTAACTATACTGCATATTTCACAAGTATTGTGACCAAAGTTCTCCAGTTTTATAAAGCTCAAAAAGTCCAGTTTAAGCTAAAATAATGTATAATAGTTCAAAAACACTTATTTTTCCATACACTTAATGTTTCCTATTAAATACTTCCACATGGCTGAAGCAATATGATTTATAGTTATCAGCAACACAAGTCATAGTTATAATGACTGGGTATGTTGATACTGTAACCTTCTATAGAGCCTCTACAGAATCTCTATATATGACTGGAGAAAAAATACGTATGAGATTTTATTAATTGGATTCTATCTGGAATCCCACAACTGATACACTAAAGTTAATTTTTTAAATTCATCTGTTTAGCATGAAAATAAAAATCTTAACAACTAACCAAATTCTTGTTTTTGTTTTTGTTTTTTTTGTTTCATTTCCAGGTATGGTTTCAAAATTGTAGAGCACGCCATAAGAAACATGTCAGCCCCAATCACTCATCCACTGCTCCTGTTACAACAGTCCAAGCCTCTAGACTTTCACCACCAATGTTAGAAGAAATGGCATATTCAGCATATGTGCCACAAGATGGGACAATGTTAACAGCTCTCCATAGTTACATGGATGGTAGGTACAGTGGCTTGCTATAACTACTCTGTGGACTTGAGAAGATTGGGTGAAATGAATCCTTTAGCTCAGGGTTGGGCACCATGCAACCTATAGGCTGCCAATTCTGCCTTTATTTTGTGCCCAATATCATGTTTGTGAAAAACCCTAGCTTTTCCAGGGGGTTGTTTAAAAAAAAAAAGAATTAAAAACTCCATGACCTACTGTTGCAGAGAGACATTTGAAATGAGTAGCAATGTCTGCTATTGGCTCAGAAGGGAAACAGGAGCTTTACATACAATATTTCTCCTCAAAAATAAATGCTTTAAAGTGTGCTACTAATTTATTATTTCACTTTGTTAAAGGGGCTGATTCTGAGGCTTCTTGCATTATGTTGAAATCGCATGGAAAGAATGGAATTATGTGTAATTAATGTGGTTCTATCCATTTGCAATATAGAATCACAGGCATTAAATTCAGTGTAAAGAACTATTCTCCTCACCCACTAGTGGAATTCTGAATCCTAGACTTAAAATATGATAGCATCATTTCCTACGTACCTTCTTGAATTTTTCATATTACTTCTCCAAAGATTCCATTCAGGTCTGCAGTATACAATGTTTGCCCTTATTCTTATAGTTATCTATCAATATGGGTGGTATAAGAATTCTTCAAAGAAAAGCGAGATAATTCACATGCAAAACTAGTTTTTGTAGATAATAGTTGGATGATTGATAGTGAAGTTGCTCTCCCCATGGCCTTTCACGGGTCTTCATGATAACAGTAGAACTTTATTTGACCATTTCTAATAGGTTCTTAGGTAAATGGGGCTATGAGTAGGTATTAAGCCATATTACAATTATTTTGCAAGCTCTATTCCCAAAGAGTATTTGGGATTATAATCAACTCTAGCTCTGGATTTATCCATAGCTAGAACTCTTTTTTTTTCTTCAATACAATGAGAGTGGGACTTTTCTTCTCCAGTATAACCTTTTGTGCATTAAAGAAATAATGAAATGTTTAAGCACACATTCCACCTATCACACTATTTGAATTTCACATTTTTTAAGGAGAAAAGGAGTCCAACACCTTCCCAAAATGTTAAAAGGTATTATTTACATAGCACTTAAAACACAGACATACACTCCCTAATCTAATTATTCATGTAGATGAAAGAAATATATAATATTAAGGTACATTGACCTATTCTAGGCATATTTTGGTACCCATGATTGATTAAAAAAGAACACCTAGTTCTAACAAAAGCTGTGGCTTCTCCTTTTAGCTCAAATACTGTAGCTATCATCATTTAAAGTACTATATATATTTATGATGAAAATTTTCTTAGTTATAGATGTGTTCAACAAGACATTAAGCGAAGTTGCAATAAAATTCCTGCAACTTGCAGAACTGCGGGTATAAACACAGTTCATATGGGAGAAGCAGGCATCACTAAGGGTATGAACATCTGGAAAGCACTGTCTTTCTAGACATGGACTCTTTCACAAGCTGTGAAATGGGTACAGCTTGTTAGTATCCTGGCCATATCACTACAATTGGGTTTTTTTTTAATTCACAAGTAATATTTTTCTACTTCCAGCCTGGCTGATCAAAAATCTTTCTATTTTTGTAGTTCATTCACCTTCTGCTCTTGGACTCCAGCCTTTGCTATCCCATTCAGTGACACAATTGCCAATAAATCACAGCTGATTTATTTATTTCAGGGACATGAGATTAAGGAGATACATTCTGAGTCACCTATTGTACTCTGTCATTGAAAATCAATTTAATCTTAAATAGCATCCAAAGTATTTTGAAGACCATTTTGTTGTCCAAGTATGTAAGTATAGATGGCTTGCAGGACACTTTTATGGCTTTCTCCATAAATACTGTATGTTTACAAACTTTATTGAAGAGAAACATCTTCTTCTTCTTCTTTTTGTATTGTCTGGAAGTAGTCCATTCTAGCTATGTGTTTGTTAATTTATTTATCATCAAAAGAGCACTTTGCCTAAAAGACAGGACTGACAATTGTGCAAAATGTTTACAATTCTTTGTGAAATTATAGTTCATCATTAGTTTGTATCTGTAAATTATTGTTATTAAAGTATTACTTGTATTTGAGTTACATGCAGCCTATACTTCAAAGCTTATGTCCACAAATTGGCAAAATTTCAATTGCCAACCTTCTCCAATTGACCTAAATAAAGCCTTCTGTTGTAGCATGCCAAACAAATATGGCAATGTGTTAATGGTATAATTGTGATTTTTAAAAAAATAAAAGTACAGCATGATTTCACTAGTTGTAAGGATATAAGCAGAAAGCATTCTCTGTAATTGTTGACTCTGGAAAGGGTAATGACAACTTGATGTGAAATCATTTAAATATAAATGACATTGAACATTAATGATCCATACTACAAAAAGAAAATGCACTATTGGGCTACTTAGCACTTTTCTATTTCTTCTGGTTTGGCTTTCTCCAGGATATATTTTAACTACCAAAGTTTCTGAGTTATGTAGCCATTTAGTAGTCCAACACAATCCTTAAATACCCTAAATCTTTTTAAGCAGTAGCCTAGTAGTAGTGAACTTAAAAGGATTAACCAATAAATCTGTTTCACCCTGAGTTCAGCTTCAGGTATTGATACAGACATCCATATCTCCTATAGCTATTTTGGTACATATATTTATAAATCAAATGCAGTGATCTGTGGATCCAGAGGGGAAAATATGCTTCAAAGCATGAATATTCCATTTTTTGGCCTTCAAGGAGTTACGTCTAGCTAATTATCATTAATCACAGTTTTTTGTCTGGTAACATCTGTCATTCTTGAGATTTCTGAAGCTTTCTTGAGATCCCTATAATGACAGTGTTGAGAAAGTTTAGCTCAAACTCCATACTCAACATACAATTGCGACTAAGCAATGAATTTATTGCAACCAAGATCTTTGGTTGCTGATCATGATTCTTTAGATACAATTCCTATGCAAATAACAGCATATAAGCCAAGTAATATATCTAGATATTTTTATGCAATATTTTATGTAAAGCCAGGTTAAATGCATTGATTTTTATCATCATCAGTTCTTATCCTGAGGTTTTAAATATAGGATGATGGCACTGGTTGACTTTATTACTCACTAAAAGGTGCTATCATAATTAATATAGAATTTAGCTTTACGGTATACGGTATACACAACATATATTTCAATATTTATTAACTGAGCAACAATTGCATACTATTACACGACAGATCCGAAGACCCAGCTCATATACAGGAAACCAAATATTGGAAATTTCAAGAGTTTTTACTTACTTCTTTTACACAATTCAAATGATTTAATGTGGAAAGCATGTGTAACACACATAAGGGTAGTGTCTTTTAAAACACTGTATATTTAACAACTATGCAAGAAAAATGGATTTACATACAGTATATGGAGACTGTACGCTCCTAGAAAGATTTGCAGATTTGGGTCAAGATGTCTGTTTTTAATAATTACTGATACTATAAGGGGGTTTGAATTATTAATAGTCTTAACATGTTTTAAAATTCTATGAATGATGAATCCAGTCTTTTCACCTGTTACTTTAGAATTGCTCCACAGCTGCCGCCTTTCTCATTGTTGCTCCTTGCCTTTTGACATGCAGTACTTCATTGGATTTAATAGATAGAAATGAGATGTGATTAACTTCTATTATATATTTATATTCAAAAATTATTCTGTTTCTTGGTCAGCCCGTATCTCTTAATGAGTGTTATATGTGTATCATGCTTGTAATTTAGGCAAACTATGAAGTTAGGGCAGGAAAATCACGGTTTCCCAAAGGGTAAATTAGCAATCCTCTCACGCTATGCACCTCCAGAGTTGTATAGTGGCCAAAATGAAGCAATGTGAGCGTGGGAAGTAGATTCAGGGAGTTTGCATATATATATGAATTTGGCAGCTTTATATGATAGAAAGCCAATTTCCCTACCATATACAGAGACATGTCCAGATTTATAAAGAGGTGGTCTATAGATTTATTTGACAAAGACAAATATCATTGCACGATGTCAGCAAATTGAAAATATCATTAGCTTTCCAGTTTCTTAGCTATATTCTGTTAGGTGGCATGCACCTGTTTATAAGAGCCAGTTTGGTCTAGGGATTAAGGCACCACTTTAGAAAGTCAGAGACCAGAAATTAAAGTCCCATCTTAAACATGAAAACCAGCTGGGTGACTTTGGGCCAGTCACTCTCTCTCAACGCAACTCCCCTCACAGGGCTGTCATTGTGGGAATGTAGTGGAAGCAGGTTGTTGGATATGTTCACCACCTTGTGTTATTTGTAAAATAATAAAGGGATACAAATAAATACAATAACACAGTGAACTGTTTACAATAGAATGGCATAAGAATACCCACCATTCATTGTGTTAAAATGGCTAATTATAATTAGAGGCGATAAATCTCAATTTTGCTTTAGGTTAAAATATATTTATTTCTAAGAAGCTGCGTCCATCTTAATGTCAGGGAACACCAGGGAATTTCAACTATATTCATAGGAGCACACATGCCCACTTACAGAATAGCAGATAGTTTTAGTTCTAAGGTTTCCTGCTACGCATAAAGGGACAATTTGAATCAATCCATTCAGAAAGTTCGTCTACTAGACAACTACAGGCAACAAAAAAATAATAACAACAATTTGGAATTCTGCCGGGCACAAATAGATGCTAGGTAACTTGATGGCTTGTATGAAATACAGTAGTCGTTTCTGTGAATCTACCAGTTTAAATCTTGTTGACACCATTTGTAAAAAGAGAAGCAACATTTGTGTGGTAAATACTGACGAAGCTCTAACGGAGCTGCTACCATAAGCATGATTTGTCCTGTTTACTGTTTTTTAAGTGATCACCCGTGTTGCCGTCTGGGTCTTTTCTAAAGACAAGAGACTACGATCACTGGACTAAAGGCAGCTGCTCTTTTCTTCTGCCCCCAGTGGTTCCTAGTTCAAGTGGAAGCAGGTGTGTTCATCTCCATTCAAATGCAAACATTTTCAGTTCCTGCTAACCCAAACCACAGAGGAGATTTGGTTTAAAATATTTTGTGGAATAGAACAAGAGGAAACTATAAAAAGGCTGATTATTTTGTAGCTCATTGGCAGGTATAATTTGGGCGTGGGTTTAGTAAGGAGGTGAACTGCAGTGGCAAGGCCACGTAGGCATGTAATATGCATGGCCTCTAGCCCGTATCCCACCTCTCTATCTTTTAAAACAATTAGTGCATGAAAGAAAAAAAATGGAGAGGAAAGGAAAATTACACTTTGAACTAGGTAGCGAGTTTGCTTGCTATTTGGATAGGAGAGATGGAAATCCTCTCAGATGCAGATTTGTTGATGAATGTGAATCAATGCATTTATTACTCAGAAAGCCCATCCCTAACAGGGAAAGGGAATTACAACTATACTCTACCCGTTTCTCTTTAATTCAGGTGAAGCATGCAGTCCTTAATAGTTTTGCCCATGCTATGAAACAGTCAAAGCAATAATTGTTGATTTGGCCCGGCCTGATGTCCCAGCTAGATTGATATAAGTCTTTCTTCCATTATTACACTTTCCTATTTTTCTCTTAAAGTGATTATGATTTGCCTGTACAACTTTTAATTTTGATTTGTATGTCAGCTCGGGAAAAAGCGATATGAGAAAGATTTTAATCCCTCCCTTCCAGTGCTTCCCTCTAATTGGCTGTCTCTTTAAGCCAGAGTAAGATGAAAGAATGATGTCTGACTAACAAGCATAATTTTCTAATTTTCAGCTCACAAAAGAAAACCTAAAATAAACTTACTGTGTCCTAAGATCTGCTAAAATTCCTGCTAAGCTGAATTAAAATACACTTTCCTTTTAATGCATATCCTGTATCCGGATAGTGTCAACATATATTGGTACATCACCAGCTTCCTTTCTTTTCCCTACTTCTCTACTGTTTCTTCTTTTTAATATACATTCCCACAAGTCAGCACTCCTATACTGTGGCTTAAAAAAACCAACCTTCAATCAGCGGAGAACCACCACAGTTATCCCTTGGGAAATTTTGCTCTGTAACCTTTACATTTGTAAAGCATATCAAGATTACTTGTCCAATACTTCTATTGGAAAAGAGATCCATCTTGCTTCAGTCTTTT